TAGAAGCCACTCTCGCACTGTGTAATGACAGCAGACCCTTCTCAGCCGCTCCAGCAATGGACGCAACCCGGAAAACTATCGGCATGGATTTTTGCTGATAACCGGCAATCAACTCAATCAACTATCGGTGCCGATTAATCGGCAAAACCGATACATCGGTCGACCTCTAGTCATCGCAGCATCCGCAGCATCCAGTGTAGACAGCATCGCTGATTATAATGGGTTCAATACTGTCATTTGTCGCGCCGCTCGCGTCCGGTGTAGACACGGTGTTGCCTTCCTCTCTTCTAACCCATAATACAGCGTACGTCCCGTGGCACCTAAGCGTCACGCATGCCTGAAAGAAGAAAGTCATATACACCTAGGATGGCTCGAGGGTGAGTAAAACACAGGCTAATTTTCATTTTTGGGTGAATTAACCCTTTAAGATCTCTCGGTCTGTTTACACTCTGGTTGATGCCTGTGACCCAGGACTCCAGACTCACTCTTCCCACTGGTCGTTCTTTTGTGACTAACTTTGTCAGTTGGTCGCACGGGAACACGTTTTTTTTTTTTTTTTTATGCTACAACATGGGATTAATCAATGCATGCTAATGAACTTTTATCATAGTTTATAGTTATATGGAAACGAAAGTGGTTAACATTCAACCTGTTCTTTTCATCAGTAGTATTATTTGTGATTTGAATTTTGTGAACGGGAGTTCCTCTTTTGCTGTGTTATAAGCCGCCAGCTTCAGATGCTTTCACGATTTCACGAATTCACGATCTTGTCATGTTTTACAATAAAAGATAATTGTCTGTTTTGCTTACATCTACACACCTTTCACTTTTTAAGTTAAGTAATTAAAAAGCACAACAACAATAAAACAGTAAGATACAATGACAAACTAGCTTACATTTTTATTAACAAAAATGAATAAGATGAGGCATGGCATACACCACATGCTGTATTATATACAAATAAATAAATAAAAGAGAGCCTCCATAGCATAACGTGAGGTAAACAGCAAAGATAAGCTTTTCAAAATGAAAAGAAAAAGAAAAAGAAAACTAAACTTGCTGTCGGTGACAGTGCTTGCATGTTTTTTCCCCACAAGAATACCAACATGTTCACCTTCTCTGGTTTAAGAACTTTTTACTTTTACTTTACTTCAGCGTGAAAGCCATCCATTGTTTCCTCAATATTCGCGTCATTTTTGTTGCGAGCACCTGCTAACGTGGCAAGTATAAAAAAAACAGGCTCTACACTCGAAGCGCTGCGCATTTCAAACGAGTTACCGTTTGATGTTTCTCACATGCAACAGAAATGGCAGCGCTTATGAGTTGAACAACACGATAGTCGCGCCAGTGCGACCGCACACAAAATTTAGTCACACAGGCAGAAAAAATGGTCGAAGTCTGGAGTCCTGCCGTGACCATACAGAAAACGCTGCTACTCCTGCCTGCCCCAGATGACACTTCACCAGTCCGAACTAGACGCAGTTGTCACAGAACATGCCACAGACAAAGTGAGATAACTTAATATTAAAAATCACGGCCATCAATCGCGGTGCCACGGAACACGCGCTGTTACGGATTAAAAGAGAGGAATAAAATTTAATGTAATGTGGTAAACAAGTGTAGAATTTGCTTACTCGGCGTGCAGAGTGAGATGTGCGACGCACCTGCAATGCTTAGGTGCTGGGAGACACGCAATCGTTTATAGTAGAAGAATAAAGTATGGTAGCAAATAGGTAAAAGTGTAGAATTGCACTGTCTGCTTATGTGCATCAATCGGAGTGTAAAACAGTGAGAGATGTTGAGGCAGGTGAAAAGCGTTTGGTTAATGGGGAATATTGACCTATTGTGCGTCTTGTTGCCGAGCCCCGCCTTGATATAATGACTGACAGGTTGGGGGCGTGATTGGCTCGGAATGCATTTTCAAATCCACATTTGGCCCTGTCCCAAATGGCACCCTAAATCCTCACGGTCTTCCTCAGAGTCCGCACTTTCGTGACGTAATACCGCTTTGACTGTCGGGTAGAAGTCTGCTGCGGAGCTCGCACCAGTGCGGGCTCGGCAGAAGTGCGTATTGAGGGCGCATTACGGCCACAAAGGGGGCGCTCACGAGCACCCTTCTGAATGCTAAAATGACAAATGGGACACCCTACGGTCTTGTGGACTTAACGGACACGCAAACGCAGCGGCCATTGTAAGTCCGTAAGACCGTAAGTGCACATGAAGTGTTCCATTTGGGACAGGGCCATTATGACTTAAACTACATTATCGCGGGGTATTTAATGAAAATGCAAATTGAAACGTCTTAAGTGTAAGTGTCAATGAATTTAAGAAAAATAAAAGACATTTAAATCACCATTTTGCTGCACATTTGGCTCAGAATGCATTTTGAAATTCACACTGCATTTTGCTACAATTATCACGCAGTATCACGATGAAAATGCAATCTCAAGAGTCCTACCCGTAAGTCTAAACGCATTTAGGAAAAATGGCATTTAAATTATACGTAATTCCGCTTTGACTGTCGGGTAGAAGTCTGCTGCGGAGCTCGCACCAGTGCGGGCTCGGCAGAAGTGCGTATTGAGGGCGCATTACGGCCACAAAGGGGGCGCTCACGAGCACCCTTCTGAATGCTAAAATGACAAATGGGACACCCTACGGTCTTGTGGACTTAACGGACACGCAAACGCAGCGGCCATTGTAAGTCCGTAAGACCGTAAGTGCACATGAAGTGTTCCATTTGGGACAGGGCCATTATGACTTAAACTACATTATCGCGGGGTATTTAATGAAAATGCAAATTGAAACGTCTTAAGTGTAAGTGTCACTTTGAGATCAACACCCCCTAGTGGTGAACCATTGGAGTTGCGAAACAGTGTGACGTAACAAAGCTTCGTTTGTCAAAATCACGTGACCTGGCTATGAACTGGTTTGATACGTGCTCCGAAACACTGATTCGAAACAAAAGATTCACAAATGTTTCGAAGCTTCGTGAAGCAGTGTTTCGAATGCGCCCATCACTAGTGTCAATGCATTTAAGAAAAATAAAAGACATTTAAATCACCATTTTTGCTACCATTTTGCTGCACATTTGGCTCAGAATGCATTTTGAAATTCACACTGCATTTTGCTACAATTATCACGCAGTATCACGATGAAAATGCAATCTCAAGAGTCCTACCCGTAAGTCTAAACGCATTTAGGAAAAATGGCATTTAAATTATAATTTTGCTACAGTTTTTGCTTGGACATGTTAAACCTATCTAATCATTTTGGGTAATACAACTTCATCTTAATTTTGTAACTTATAAAGCGTTAAAATATGTTTTTAATTTACATATTAAAACGAGTGTAGAAAATGGCTAATGTAAATTACATAATTGAATTTTCATTTTACAATAAATGTTGCACATATGTATGGGAAAATGTAAATTTAAATACAGAAATACATTGTCATTTTACATATTGCATTATCATTTTGCATATTACATTTCAAAATGAATTTTGCTAACCATATGCTTCCATAAAGTACAGATGCCACTCACATCTATCACTGCGCACTCGGAACACAAAACCAGTGCAATTTAAACTCCAGCTTTGACCCCACTACATTTGACAGGTAAACTCTCTATAAATCTGATCTAGCTGCAGATTACAGAGTACATTCACACTTCACAGTCAGATATCAGCAATCAATGCTCTTTGCCCTTGTTAGTGCTGAACAGCAGTGAACTGAAAGTCTGCGCTTGCAGACCTGCCGCATGTTCACGCGCCTCTATTCCACATTACGTCATGGTGTCGCGAGCCTGTTAGCACGCTAGCTTTATGCTAATACTAACGTTTGGGTCCCTTCAGTTTGACTGAAACGTTTAGACAAAGTGAAATAAGCTAGTGAATGTAATCGGGAAAGAGAATGAGCCAAGAGCCCGGCAGATACTCACGGCTACGGTTTAAGGTCAGACAATCTAGTAAGCTAAATGCTAACGAGAGGCCAAATGAAGCCTCGGGCTCGGGTTGTCAGACCTGCGGCCCTCAGCGCACCATGCGACGTCCACATGCGACAGGTCAGCACGCCGAGCTCAAACAACACCCGCCTCCTACTCCCTTAGCCTACATGCTAACAAGCTAGCTCTGCCATTCGCATAGGCATATTACAAAAGCACAGAAACTTACCCACTAAAAATAAGTCCTGGGGAGTTCTGTTGTGGAGAAGCTAAAAACCAGATAAAAGAGAAGGACGAAAAGAAAGCGAGAGACTGAGCGCGGCGGTGGTGAGAGAGAGACAGTCTGGCGGGTTGTTTTGCTCTGCATTCAGTCTGTGAAAGAGCGGATCACCCTTGTCTGTTTAAACCAGGGATGCATCATTCCCATTTATTCTGCGTCCTGAATGTGTAAAGTGTCGGGTTTGACCGCTATTTTGGTCCGCTTCGTTCGGGACCGAATCTCTGCACACCAGCAGCAGCGCAGGACCCGGATGTGGATTCAGCAGGGCTGCGCACTTAAAAGAATGACATCATCATCATCATCATCATCATCATCTCTTCATCAACATCATCCCTCCATCTGTACATCATTCTGTCATCACCATCGCATCCTTCTCTAGCAATCGTGCATTCATCAAAATCATCATCCCTCTGTACTTTTACCACTATGCCTCCATCACCAGTCCTGCATCCTTCACCTCTCAAGCACTGGACATTTTTTAAATCTAACATGACTGAACAAAAAGCCCCTTTTATACACACTTAAATGGATTTCAATATGTTAGGTGGAAAATAGAAATGAGAACAGATGAACAGGTGTCAAACTATATAGTTCAAGCTGCCTAATGCAATTATTTCTAATACCCTATGAATAAAATGTCTAACAAACATTTTTCAATGCAAAACGACATTTGATTTAATAAATGTCTAAGAGCTCCACGTTTATTTATATCTATCTATCTATCTACATATCCATCTATCTATCTATCTATCTATCTATCTGTCTGTCTGTCTGTCTGTCTACTGTTGTAGCCTATTCAAATCCATCTGAATACAAAACCAGCGGAATATAAATAATATGGAATATAAATAGTAAATAATATAAGGCTGCTGTAGCCTATAGCTTTGTACTCTTCGAGTGGACAGATATTGGCTATAGATAGATAGATAGGTTAAAAATAAAGGTAAAACAGTGTATTCCATTAAAACAGAAGATTAACCCGGAAGGCTTTGACTCGTGCTGTAGGTCCTGCCGGGTCGTTGGCTGAACTGAGCAGGGTTGGTTCAGAAGCAGCAGCTACAGCATGTTGTAACACAGACGGATCTGTCAAGCGCAGCTTGCGCAAGATTTACCAGCGCATTCAGCCACTATTCTGTAAAATAGCTACTTTTTGCGACGTTTCTCGGCGTTTATACAGAAATGTTGGATATATGCTGGCTGTGTGTGATTCTCGCAGGGAGCGCAGTTTATTTACTAACGCAGTTTATACGCTTCATCTTCGCAGACGCTGATCTGACTTTATTATGGGCGGCGAGGTTCGGCAACAGCCCAGGTAATATGAATTAGAATCGCTTATAGACATATACATGTATACACAGAAATATGTTTGCAATCTAAAATCAACCAACACCTGGCTTCTTATGCAACAAAGTGTGACACATTCCTGCAAGGTTATGGAATTTGCACTCTGTCGTTAACTATGACTGTTAAGTGCTCTAACAAGCTAGTGTAGTGTAGAGGTCACCATGGCAGTATGCGACAGGTACAGTATAGTAAAGTATAACGTTTTTTTATATAAGTAAAGTATAAAGTCTGCATGAATCATGGTTATAATCAAAGACTATAGAATACCTGTTACAGCTGATGCCATTATCAGTGTCTTTATATATACACAAATGTTGGGTTTTCATGTTTTATGAGGACTTTCCATAGAGAAAAATATAGAGAAAAAAAATATGATTAATAAGCTGCTAAATGTCCCCTGAAAAACACCTCGCACCATAACAAGCATCTTGTAGCTGTAGTTGCACACAAGCCAGGTTTTAATATCAAATTAAATGTAGAACTGTCAGCGCACTGTTACCATGAACCATTTGAGAAGGCACAATTATATCCCAGCATATTACAAATGTATTCATTTAGCTTGAGATTGCATAATACAATGTATTATTTTTTAATCTGATATAATCTGATATTAAACTCTTACAAAGATGCACTTCACCTTATACATATAAACACCATATACTGTAAAACTTCATTTTTCTTAGACTGACCCATATACTGGAGTTCATACTGCTCTGTTGAGCATTACTTCCATTGCTATACCTTTATACACTTTTAAAAAATAATTATTAATGAAATAATATATAGTGTGATGGTGTAGAATTGTATTAATTAATTCATTTTTCATTTTATAGAGTCAAAGTTGAGAGGCAAAGTGGTATGGATTACCGGAGCCTCGAGTGGCATTGGGGAGGAGTTGTCCTATCAGCTCGCGGCCCTCGGTGCTCGGCTTGTGCTGTCTGCCCGCAGGGAGAATGAGCTGGAGAGGGTAAAGCGCACATGTTTAGGTATGAACAGTCCTGAGAAACATTTGAGAGACAGGAGAAACACATAAAACCCCAATTAAGTACACTGTAATTCATGTCTCCTCCCTCAGAGCTGCAGAATGACCCTGAATGTGTATACTCAAGTATCTTTGCTGTCAATACTTTACAACTATGTACTAAAAGCATCCACACCATGACCTACTGACACAAAATACACTCTTTCTCTCCTTCTGTTAGAGCGCTTCTCTCTAAAGGATGAGGATATTCTTGTCCTTCCACTTGATTTGTTGGACCGTGGATCACATCAAGAAAAAACTGCTGCAGCTCTGAAGCACTTTGGTGATGTAAATGACATCTGGATTTCATGTCCAATCTTCAGCGTGTTTCTGTGATTGTTTCTTCTATTTCAGAAACATTGCTGACACCAAAAAGTGTAATTTTCAGAATACTGATTTTGATTGAATTTTCCTAGTATTAACACCTAAGAATTAAAGTATGCACTGGTTAAAGGAAAAGTTCACCCAAAAATGAACATTAGCTGAAAATGTACTCACCCTCAGGCCATCCAAGATATAGATGAGTTTGTTTCTTCATCTGAACAGATTTGGAGAAATTTAGCATGACATCACTTGCTCACCAGTGAATCCTCTGCAGTGAATGTGTTCTGTCCAAACAGCTGATAAAAACATCACAATAATCCACACAACTCCAGTGTATCAATTAATGTCTTGTAAAGCGAAAAGCTGTATGTTTGTAACTCATCTACATCTTGGATGGGTAAATATTCAGCAAATTTTTGGGTGAACTATTCAACATAAAATGCACCAGTAAGCCCAGGATCATACATTACATGACAATGAAACATGCAAACTTTAGACATTTGCAGAGACAAGTGTGTAGAAAACAGTAAATAATCATCTGAAAAATGAAATCATCTAGCTAGCATTTCGTAGCATAATATTTCAACATGAATTTCTCTGTTGACATTGGAACAGCTGCAACAGACTATCAATGCCATTTTGTTTCTTTATACTATACTTCATCAGAGTGTCAAGCAATTTAGAATGATTAGAATGGTCAGAGATATTACGTGGGAATAATTCCTCTAAAATGTCTTAATTTTTGTGTGTCTGCATTTTCAGATAGATGTGTTGATAAACAACGGAGGCCGGACGCAGCGTTCGCTGTGCACAGAGGCTGATGTGGATGTGTACCAGGCACTTATGGAGCTCAACTACCTTGGCACTGTATCTATCACTAAGCAGGTGCTGCCCCACATGATCCGCCGTGGTAGTGGTATCATAGCCACCATCAGCAGCGTTGCAGGCTTTGTAGGGGTGCCCCTGGCAACGGGCTATGCTGCGAGCAAGCATGCGGTGCAGGTGAGAGCAAACTGACAGAATTCCCTGAGAATCTGCCTACACGTATGCAGCATTGTCTGGTAAAAATAGTCAAAAAAGATAAAAAAGCTCCTGGTTTGTTGTGTTTCTCCAGGGTTTCTTTAACTCTCTGAGGACAGAACTCACTGATTATCCGAACATCACCATCAGTACCATTTGTCCCGGACCTGTAATATCAAGCATCGTTCAGAATGCATTCACCGAGGAGCTCAGCAAAGTATTTGCACCAGTTGTTTTTTTGTTTGTTTGTTTTGTTTTGGTAAAATAAAAGAAAAATTAGATGAAAAACTTAAACTAAACAATTTTTTACTGAATTATGTTTAAATGTGAAGTTTGCCATTTCTGCGCTACTAGTGTCACCTAGCGGAATTACAAAAAAGCATATTTTCAAACGCAATCCTTTGCAGAACCACCTTAACACACTTAATATTATTCTTATCATCATTACGAAATCTTACTACTTTATCTGTGGCTTGACAGTAAAGAGCTAAAAACTTGACTTTAACAATGTTGAGAAGAAACTCTGCGAGTTCGGCGTCTCGATTAAAATCCAGCCATTCCTGGAAATTCCTCCATTGTGTAAAACAACCACGAGTGTTTACCCATGTTTTACCCCGTTGTCTGCATATTTTAGCAAGTCTTCGAATTTTGGCTTGCACTTCTATAACCGAAACTTAATTTCTTTGCCCATATAACAAGAAGTCATCTCAACACCCAACACCCTCTGGTTCAGTCTGCTACAGTAGCCACGCCCCAAACACTCGCAATTGGTTGAGCGGGAACTAGATTGACAGATAAACCCATGAATGTCATAGTAGCCAATGAACAACAAATGGGGTTAAAACCAATATATTTAATAGCTAATTCAAAATATTAATAAAAACTATAACAGTATATAATACTTAACAATTATCTGCACTTGGGCTCATTGATCAGTGATCATTATATCAAAATACTTTTGCATTTGCTTAGCTAAAAAGTACTTTTTTTTTTGTTCTCTTTAGCCTGTGGCCACAGCTGGTGATCAGACACATAAGATGTCTACAGAGCGCTGTGTTCAACTCACCCTGGTAGGTCTGGCCAACCGTGTGAAAGAGATGTGGATCGCCGAGCAGCCCTTTCTACTCTTCTGCTATTTGTGGCAGTACATTCCCACTCTGGCCTGGTACTTGACTAACATTCTGGGTAAAAAACGTGTGCAGAACTTCAAAGCTGGACTGGTGAGTAGTGGGTGTAAACAGATACCTGAACTGGTTTATTTATGCTACAATAGCAGTAATATCTTTTCTGAATCATCTTATTTTCTAGGATGCAGACTCTGCATATTTCAGCAAGCCTAAGGTCAAGACAACTTGAAAATCTAATTTCAGGAAACACTGATTTGTGAATTCCTTACCAGAAGGACCCGGGAAAGTCACCCAGACATTTCACTGTCATTAAATAAATATGAAAACACCTTATATTTTGCTTGCTGTATCAATAGCAAGAAGACAAATTGTACATTCTTTAAAAAAATGCATGGGCAGATGATTTGTTTTCTTTGTGTTTTCTGTATTAAAATGTTGTACATCAGTTATAAA